AAGATATTATAATTTCAATAAGACATTTGGTTTTGGGGTTTGTAAAAGCTGTTTTTGTTGTAGTTACACAGTTTGTGTGTGGCGTTTCGAACGCTTCGAAACCCGGGTGTGCCTCACACGTCCTGAAAAGTGAAGCTGCGGTCTCTTTGATCGCCCCCTGGTGGCTGGCTGCAGTACAGGTCATAAACCCCGCCCTCTCCATGTAAACGAATGGGACTTGATGGTTTTGGTCATTTAAGGTAGTTGTTATCACACTGATATATGTTCGTTTTTGTGATAAGTTTGATTTTAGCTAGTAATTTTATGCTATAAAAACGGGGTGTGTCGTTATGGTTGATTGGGTCTGCGGGAGTTTGGGCGGGAGTTTGATACCGCGGCTCCATCTCACGACACTACTGCGCAGACTCTGGCTCCAAGCAAATCTCTACTGCGCAGACTTGGGATCCAAATGACGTCATTTACTCAAGATGGCAGCGGCCATACTGAGATGCTTTGGCTTCACTTTTCTATAGTGGAAGGAAGTGGAGACGCGTCGTCCATCTTTTTTTACAGTCTATGTTCGAAACAGTGAATCATGTTGATGCTTCGAAAAGGTTAGTTTCTGCAATCGTTATCGTCAACGGTCGTCAACCCTTGAAAATAAAAGTTCGGATTAGCTTGAAGAAATTATATATTACTATTGTACAGTAAAATGTACCTCTCAAAATAATAATAATAATAACAACAATAATAATACAGTTCATAAAAACACATTTTTAAAAAGAATATTAGCCTACAATAATTTCCATCCATGTTTTCAAAAAATACATTTATATAGAAAATAAATAAATAGAGCATGTCATTTTAAAAATAAAGTTGTTTAAACTTTTCAAATATTTAATGACAGCTCAGAGGCAATGCAGATGTAACAAACGTGAGTGTCAAAATAAAGGTGCATCTTAAAAAAATACTGTGTAGCCTATATATGATTTTTTTTATGTGTTGCATCGATACATCATATTGTTTGTCATTTAACTGATGCATTGATCCATATCGAGGTATTGTTACACCCCTAGTTGATACTGTTTGCTAATCAGTTACATTAACATCAAAGCTGTGCAATATGTAAAGTTGTACCAGAGCTGAATTTGTGTATATTATACAAACAGAATGAAGTACCAGGGATTGTGTCCACCTGTACCGCGCACTGAGGAAGACTTCGACCCTGGTGCAAAGTTCCACATCCCAGCTAATGTGCCCTACGTCAGGTAGTGGAAAGATCTTGCATCTATCATGTTACACAACTCATGTAATCAAATAAGCCTTTGGATTGACCGTTTATTTGGTTTGGCTCCAAAAGGTACTTTGTGAGTTTTATAATCCAGTTCCAGTTCCACAAAGCCCTGTGTGAAGCCGCCGGTCAGCCAGCTCCGCTCCACAACTGTGACATCTACCAGTCCAAAGAAGCAGGGAAACTCCTGGGGTCAGTAAATCACTTAGAACTGTTTCCAGTTTTTACAAGCACTAGGAGCAATAAAGTAGTAAGATTTTATAGTCTCATCAATTTTGCTCGCGAATAAAAGAGCTCTACTCCCTCCTCCTCAGTGATGTGATGAAGATGGGCTTCAGTAAACCCTGGCCCGAAGCCATGACTTTGATTACTGGCCAGCCCAAAATGTCAGTCCAGCCTCTGATGGAATACTTCCAACCGCTCATCGAGTGGCTTGAAGAGGAGAACAAAAAGAACGGTGACGTCCTGGGATGGCCAGAGTACGATTGGACGCCTTACAAAAGTAAGGTTGGAGTTCATGAATCGACACTCAAATGTTGTTTTAACACTCAATTTCCTGTGTTTTATTGAAAAATAAATGTGCTTCAGCTGGGAAACTTGGATGGATTTCAGTCAAATTAATTGGAGCAGAATAAAATTTGAATGTTAGTAAGCCAATCCCAACGACTTTCCAAGAAGCTCCAACTCAATTGTAAACCACTGGATTTGGGTGATTATTAAAATAGGACAAGTTTCTTTTCTGTAATTTTTTTTTCCAGAATATTCTATATATACATATACATATATATATATATATATATAAAAAATTTTTTTCAGGAATGTAATATAATTGTATTTTTTTTAATCTTTTTTTTTTTTTTTTGTGCTGAAAAGTAAAATTTGTCAGAATTTCTACATTTCTGACTAATCCCCTTACCCATACATTTTAACTTCTCTTCTATAGTTTATTTATATAAAACATTTATAAAAAGATGTCATAACAGAGATAAAATTTTCAATTAACGTATAAACATGAGTATATTTTTATGTGCAATTTTATTATTTATAACAGAATCTCTTCCCCCAATACTGCTGTCATTACTTTCATCTCACCAATAATTTGTATAATATAATATAAATGTATAAAATACATTTGTAAAAATATGTCTTTAAGAACTTCATAAGGATCACATTTTCACTTAAACTTGGTACTGTATATGTACAATTTTATTATTTATAACAGAATCTCTGTCCCCGTATTGCTCTCATTACCATCACACAAGACTTTGTATGATAATATAAAATACAATTTAAAAAAAGATTAATAACTTACTGTATATTTACAATTTGTAATATTTATAAAATAATCCGTCCCAAATACTGATCACACCAAGAATTTGAGTATCATTCCATTCCATTCTGTTCTACTCTACATATGATGGAAATGACAAGTGACAGGGTCAGAAATGTCATTAATATTAAGATTTTAAACTTCATTTGAGGTTTATTATAGTGTATATATAAGGTTAATTACAGTATATATTTATTCAGAAACAATCTTTTTTTCTGTAATTTGAAGTTACTTGTCTGCTAAGTAACATCATGTGTTAACATGCACAAAAGTAAAACTACCATCAATAACAAAAATCCAGACCATAGCACTTTTTAACACTAGTACAAGTGCTCACACACTTCTCACCTGTTTGTTTCAGTGATGGAAGAGAAGCCGAAAGCAGTCAGTTTCCTGGGTTTGAGTGTGGATGAGGCAGGTGCTGTGGCGGGACAGTGGATTCTCCTGGTTCTGAGCATCGTCTTCCTGCTTGGCATCATCTATTTAGTCTACAGATACGGGAAGACTAAACGCTTACAAGACAAATCGATGTCTCAGATGGAGCTTAAGTAAAGGAACACATTCTATTCTTACCATGCAGTCATTACTTTTTGACAAAAACCACCTCTTTTTGAAAGTATATTTATTATTTTTGGTCAAATTTGTTTGACTATGCAATGAAAGGTAACTTGTAATTTATTTGTAAACTTTAAATGTTTGAATGCTGTTTTCAATTATTTGTATAGTCTTAGCTGTATGCATTTCTGATTGATTTTACTGGTAAATCTTTATAGAATATAAAGAATAATACAGACGTTCTGGCTTTGTGTATTGTCTGAGTGCAGGAACATTTCATAAAAATGAGCCTTCAATTAAAAAAAAAAATTGTAATCTTAAAAAAAAAAAAAAAGACCTTACAGACCATCATGTTTTTTTTCTGTGTGGACATACAGTATATTTTCTCAACTCTATACCCAGGTCTGAGGTATACAAGCATTTGCTCAGAACGTAATGAACTCTAGTGTTTCAGTATCCAGCTCCCCTCTAATAACTAAAGGAGTCAACCAATGTGGGCTTCTTTCTGACAATCCACCACTTGATTATATTAAACTTCACTAAACTATAACACTTCAAGCAATTAACCATGTGATCATTTTCAGTATTCCCATCACTGAACGTGGACTGATCTGAACTGAACTGAAGTGAAATCTGCAACAATCCTTGTGGCTTGGCAGTACATGTACATCTTTTTAATAGAAAATATAGCATTTGTTCAAGCATAAAAGCAACATTCTTCACTAGTTTCTAGTAGCTGCTGTTCTGCAAAAAAGGGTCAACACAATACTATTTGAGTAGACAGTAATACAATAATAAAGAATGAAAATCTGAAATGGACAAGAACAGAGTGACTTGCGTCAAATTACACCACAAAATCATACAAAAAAAATCAATATTGAGTCGACAAACAATAAGTGAAGTTTGGGTCAGTACTATATATTGACCAAATCAGCTTTGATTTTTGCTCATACAATACGAATGTTTTTTTTTCCCGCATTGCAGTAATGAGAATTTAATTGTGCTTAATTGTCGTAAAATTGCTTCACAATGTAAAAAAAAGTCCTAAATTAAGCTTTTATTCAAACTGTTTATATATATATATATATATATATATAGAGAGAGAGAGAGAGAGAGAGAGAGAGAGATTCACCCAACTAATGCTGACAGGAACATGATGGTTTGGGCAAACATTTTACACACTTAAACACTGTAGTCTTCCTCCATGGGAGGAAGTAGCTGGGGAAAAAAAATGGAGCAGTTCTTATGCAGTGTTGCAAAATAAGCGTCCAAAGACAAAGCAAATGGAACTTGAAAATCAAGTCTATTTCCTCAGTGCTGTTTGATCAGAACTGGTTTCAAATCAGTTATAGCATGATGGAAAAGATCTCCTTCTCTCAATGAGTAAAATTACCCAAGGCTCTGGAAAGCGGAACTATTATAGTGACATTAAAAAAAAATATATTACAATGGAATGAAATTTAAAATGCAATGAAACACACAAAGCAAGATTTAAAGATTTCAAACTAGGAAAATAAATCAGTTGCTCATTACTAAGTCAAGGACGTAACAGACAATACTCTGGCTTCGTTGAAAGCGGTTTAATGGTCTACAAATCACGATATTGCACACAGACCAACAAACATTTCGAAACGTTCTCACTGCGTGATTGGCGGCTCCAAACGCCAGTGTCCAGTGTCTGCTGAGTTGAGACGGTTAATAAAAGACATCCTCCAATCATCACGCTCCCCAGGCTCTGGATGGAGAGAGGTGAAGAGGTCAGTAGTAATATTCATGCATTTCTGTCCAGTTGGTGACCCAGAGTTTCTTGCTCAGTTCTTGCTCAGGCTGAAAGGCCAAGTTATAGCGTTCCTCTTTGCGTACTTTCACTCCATGGTACTTTGGCATTATCCTGTAGTAAACGGTCCTTTTGAAGAAACCGCACTGCTCGAGACAGACAGAGAATCAAAGAAACGTTTCAGGTAAGAGTGACGGATATGCTTTGTAATGAAAATTTAAAAGTAAATAAAAGTAATTAGATTTTAAATGTTAGCATTTATTCACCCTCAAGACAAGCCTGTATTATTCCTTCTTTCGCAAAGAGCTCCATAAAAGCATCGTAAAAGAAGTTCGTATGACTTGTGCTCTATATATTTCAAGTCTTCTGAAGCCATTTGATCAATTTTACAGCTAGATTTTCTCATGCTGTTTCAAGTTGTGATTGGTCATGTGACGAATGAGAAAAGCCATTTACTAGCAAATTATATGATTCTTTTATGATGCTTTTTGTCATTTTTGGAGCTTTGCAGTATCAATCTAAAAATCCACTTTTCTTGAAAAACAGCAGCATGGAAATTGTGCATCTCATTTTGTGTTTGACAGAAGAAAATAAATAATATGACAAGAGGGTAAGTAAATGATAACAGAAATGAAAATCTGCTCAAAATGTACTCGCCCTCAGGCCATCCAAGATGTAGATGAGTTTGTTTCTTCATGGGAACAGATCCGGAGAGATTTAGCATTACAACACTTGCTCACAGTGAATGGGTGCCGTCAGAATGAAACAAATCACGTTTTAACATTAAACTGTCGTTTATAATGTATAATAATGCTTCCTCCAGTAAAAAAGTCCATCCCCTGTTGTCCTCTCACATCAAAATCCACTAATATATTTGTTCTGGCTTTTAAACATTGCTTGATCTCTGCATATTTCTCTCCTGATTCAGAGAAATGGCTTTTTCACTGGATAAAGCAATATTATGGATAGAGGATTCATGTTTTAGCCAGTTTGAAGTCGATGGATTTGTTTAATACAAACACGCAGCTTTTCACTAAACGTTAATTGATGGACTCAATTCATGTGGATTATTGTGATGTTTTTATCAGCTGTTTGTACACTCATTCTGACGGCACCCATTCACTGCAGAGGATCCACTGGTGAGCAAGTGATGTAATGCTAAATTTCTCCAAACCTGATAAAGAAACAAACTCACCTACATCTTGGATGGCCTGAGGGTGAGTAAATGTCCGGCAAATTTTCATTTTTTGGTGAACTATTCCTTAAAGCACTGTATAAATGCATAGACATTATTAAAGAATGGGGAAAAAACTGAATCTTCATGCTTCGGTTAGGATTAATTTAAACGAGTGCACACAAATTTAAAAATATTGAATTAGTGGAAAAAGTGCATTGAAATTCCCATTTGAGCTCTACGTCTCTGGGAATATGAAGGGTTATTGAGCAAGACAGAGAGAATGAGAAATGAAAAGATTGTTATTTGACTCTGGCAGGGAAGGAATTACGGAGGTAAGCCAGAAAAAAGATTTGTGAAGTGAAAAGTCAGAAAAAGCGTATGGTAACTAGAGAGATCTCCAGGGTCTGCTTTACCGAAGGGCCCTAACAGTGCTGCCATAGCATAGGCTCAGTATTCCTCCGTCAGCCTCTCTGTCTCAGAGGGCTGGATCTTTATTTCTGCTTTCTGGGATTTGGCCTCATACATCTCCCTCCTGCTGGCCCGTCGGAAGAAACCGCACTGTGGAGGAGGGGCGGAGCCCAAGGCGGGACATTTATTACTGATTTAAATAACAAGAGGCAGTGACATTTCACATAAAGTGTGCACTGGGTCAAATTGAATTTCATGGACTGCAAGCATGTGGTTTAAATCTGTCCTTTCATTTGCGTTTATAAACCATCCCTGGTTAAGTTATAGTTTATAAATAAATGTTTTAGGAAAAGTGCCTAAAAGTGGGTGGTGTGACCAAAATCCAATTTCACGCTATGAGTAATTTTATGTAATGGTACTATTCAAAAGTTTGGGGTTAGAATAATTTGTTTTTATTCAGCAAGGACACGTTTAAATCAAAAGTGACAAAAGATTTCCATTAAAAAAAATAATTTAAAAATTCTGTTCTTTTGAACATTCTTCATTAAATAATCCTGAAATTATTTTTTGGAGCAACAAATCAGCATATTAGAATTATTTCTGAATGATCACGTGACACTGAAGACTGGAGTAATGTTGCTGATAATTCAGCTTTGCATCACAGGAATAAACTTAAATAACTTAATCTTTTCATTTCGTTTCATTATTTTCTCTTTTGTTTGGAAACTAATGGATGCAAACCACAACATAAAATTATTTATAACAAAAAAATCTGGCATCAGTGAAAAAACAAAAACAAAGCTTAACCCAACATTATGCAACACTTGACTTAAAAACAAAATAAAACCAATATTATAAAATGTTGAACGTAAAATAGCTGATGTATACACACGTGACCCCACATCAGTTGAATTTGATGGTAAACTTTAATATAATAAATAATTGGGACACGTCCTGATCTGTATCTGCACATACATGTGTACTACCGTATGCTGGTCTAGCAGAATTTCTCAGGTGACACATTTCTACTATCGTAACACTTCCCAGCCCAATTGTGACCTGGATTTCAGATCATTCTAAATGATGGGCAAACTTCTTTGAAAAGTTTGAATTTTGATCTTGATGGGATGTTGACCAAATATAAAAGCGCAAATACCTTCCACAGAATGAGACTGATGATGCCTAATAACAGTATCCCTGCAACCGCTGCAACAATGATGATCCAGAGAGGAACTTCATACGGCGTCTCCTCTCCCAGCACTGGATCAATGTTTACTGAAAACTACAGACAATTCAATTAGATCAAACACCATCGGCTCCTTCATGTCAAAATGAATAAGCACTGACTTATATTTTGCACTGCATTTTACAGTTATGAAAATGGTTTCAGAAGTCAAGTTATTTTTATACGCTTACACAGCTCCCAGTAATAAACAGGAAAATAACCATTAATGTTGCAAAATTCAACAGTTATTAAACTGTAAAACAGCTCTATCGAAGACAGCGGTCATTATTCAGCTGAATTTCATCCAGTGTTGATTCAGTTCAGTAACATTGTTGATGTTAAATGCAAAGTTTATCGATAATCAAAAACAAATTTGTTTCACAGCAGCTCTGCAGAAGACAATAGTGTCATTGTTCAGCTTAACTTGGTTCAATATTGATTCAGTTCAGTAACAGTGATGTTGCAGAGTTTACCAATTATGAAACAAATTTGATTTACAGCAGCTCTACACCAAGCGGCAACCTCCCGTTCTCTCGCTTGAAACCAACACGGAAGTGACTAAAACTGCAATTCATCGACCGACTGTTAGAGGCTGGCTCCAAAAGGGAGTCAGTCCCATAGACTCCCCATGTTAAAATGCCCAACTTTACAGCAGAAAAAAATGTGTTTTCAGCCTGGTACAAAAAGTGGTTTTGGGCTATATAGCTAATTTTGCCCTTCATGACAACTGTGAGGGGGTGAAATTTTTTATAACTCATCCGTTTAAATTATATTAAGCCTTAAAGTTCTGCATAATTAAGGGCGTGGCCACTTGAGTGACAGGTGACACTACGTCCATGTTTTTATACAGTCTATGCTCTACACAGGACAAAAGTGTTATTGTTCAGCTCAGCTTCAGCTAGAACACTCCTGAACAGAGATAATTCAATAACTGTGACAATATTGCAAAGTTCATCAATTATGAAACAACTTCAAATTCAGCTGTGAAGCAGCTCAATAGAAGACAATAGTATCATTATGTAGCTCGAGTTTTGTTCTTTTTCGATAGTGTCAGTGCAGTCAAAACGATACGATTTCTAAATATTAATTGTCTTTTAAACCCCAGTTCATATGACTCGTGCACTAAATTCCAAGATATTTCAGAAGACTTACAATACTACTTTCAAAGTAGCTTTTGAAAGTACAGTACAAAGACTACTTTCATGATGTTTTACAGTGCATTTTTGGAGTTTGTGTCTGTGGAGAGATTATGAACTATGAAGTAGATAAATCATTACTAGGTGAACTTTAATGCGAACAGCTCTGACCTCTCTGATCTGGTTGTCCATTTTGATGGCCGGTTTATCCGTCAGCAGTCTCAGCGTGGCCTGGCCCTTCACTTCCACTCGCAGGACATTGGCGTAATCCTGCCAGAAAACCACAGAGATCAATTGAGTCATTCAGTGAGCACCATTTAGTGAGTACTTCACAAACAGCTACTAATACAAACCTCCAGCAAGGTGCTGTTCCACATGCGAGACTTAACTCTGATCTCCGCCTGAGTCAACATGTTATGCAGCGGGCAGGAGAAGGTCATGCAGCGAGCCGTCAGCTTTGAACACTCCTGAACAGGGACAAAAGCCACGCTTTTTGACATTTGTCATTGATATGACGAAAAAACTGTTGGGACAGCATGAAAATCAGTGCAGACGCCTCCCTCACCAGCAAATGGGACACTTTACGAGGTGCCTGGATGGTGACAGAAGCTTCTGCATAGGGATATCCTGACTCCAACTCTCTTTTGGACCGTTTGGTAGCTCGATCTGACAGCTGCAAGAGATGATGTAGACGACAATTGAATGGAGTGAATGAAATTGGAAATGAGTTACGGTGGGTTGCTGTATTTTCTCAGACTCACTGTGAGGTTGAGAGGGTTGACAACCTTCCCCGGTGGGACACAACGTGACTCTGACGCTCCTTTGATCACTATCTCTGTGAGATACAGCAGCCATTTCCCATTGGTTACCTCAAATGGCCATTCAAAGTCAATCATCAGAGTTCCCAAATCTCTCAGAGGTTCTCCCAGCACGTGTACCTGGAAAGTGGAAACAAAGACCATTTTTAGTGTTTTAAAGGCACAATATGTAAGTTTTCACCACTAGAGATCGCATTTTCAAAACAATAACAAAGCTTGATGACGCTATGAAGGAGGATGTTCACTGATGATAATTTAATTTAATGATAATTTAATTATTGAGGTGAGGATGAGGATGAGGTAATTATTGTATGAGGTAATTAATTATTTGTTTTTTATTACCTGTACCTTCCACAGTTATTTAAACAGCAATAAATCATACAGAGAAAACAAGCAAAGAACATTTACATTGTCAAAGAACATTATGACTGACTTTGGTCTAGCGCGAGTTTAAGCACTCTCAAAAAACTCTCCTTATAATCAGTAAAGCTGTCTATACACGGTTTTATGAATGAATCATACGTACATGCGCACTTTGTTGTTTATGATGAGAGAATTCACGTGAGAGCTGAATTCAGTCAGCGAGGCGTGCAGTGAACAAAAAACTCATCTGAATGCCTCTGATTGGCCATTGCCTTCATAAGCTCAACGGACTCGTGTGTGATTGGTTATAATGCGCAACACTGTAAAAACGCGTTAAAAAAAAACATGGCGCAAACATTGAGTAGATCTAAATTTAATGCTGCAGTCAACACTTTTCATTTTCATTTTCATTTTCACTTTATTCGCGACAGCTGTAATGGATTTAGTTTAACTGTACAGCAGTATTTATGTCCGTGTGTTGCCATAGTTTCTACAAGCGGAAACTGAGGATATGCGGATATTACGTCATTGATAGGCGACAATGACCAGGGACGATTTAAAATGGGAATTTCTATGGATTTACAAATCCTTGGGAACTTTTGGGATAACGTAAGTACACAACTGCATGAAATATATCACACTGTGCAAGTAGTTTTTGGATATTTCATTACAAAAATCTTACATATTGTGCCTTTAACACTTTGAACTGTTTAAAAGGAGCTTAAAAGCATTAGTCCACCCAAAACTGTAAATTCTGACATCATTTATTCGCCCTCATGTCATTCCAAACCTGTATAACTTCACAGGTTCACATGGGACACACACAAAAAAAGAAATTTTGAAGAATGTGGGTAAATAACAGTTTCGGTGACCACTGACTTCCAATGTATGAACAAAAAACAATGTATGGAAATTCTTCAAAATATCTTCTTTTCTGTTGCTCAGAAAAAAACAAAGTCATACAGATTTAGAATGTCATGAGTAAATGTGAATAAATGATGACCAAATTCATTTTGAGTGAACTATCCCTTTAAAAGTGGACTCAAATCTCAATTGTTTAGTTGTGGTCTCCATCTACTTTTCATTCCCACTGTTGTTTTCAGGAATCTGTACCAATTAAATACTGAATTTACTAATATTATAGCAGAATAAAATTATACATTATTATATAATAATCACATATTTTTGCCCTAATTTCTTAACTTTAATTCGGCAATGATTTAACCCTTGAGCTTTTTATTATCATCATTGACTTTTTAAGTACTGGCCAAAAACATTTAAAACTCCACTACCATTCAAAATTGGAGGCAGTAGAATTATTTTTATTTTTGACTTTTTTTTAAAAGAAATGAATACTGATCAAAAGCGACAGTAAAGACATTTATAATTTCTAATTTTATATTAGTGCTGTTCTTTTGAACTTTTCATTCATCATTAATTTCATCAAAAATCCTGAGAAAGTGTTTCAGTTTCCATAAAAATATTAAGCAGCACAACTGTTTTAAACATTGATCATCACTGACACAAAAGACTGGAGTAGTGACAGCTTAGAATTTTTATCACAGGAATTAATTACATTTTACACACACACACACACACACACACACACACACACACAC